GCAGGGTTGTTACAGAAATAAATCCGTTTTTGAAGACATTTCACGAGATATGAGGCATCGTTTTAAGTGCTCGTGGCCAGAGCCTCTCCTCTTTGTTTCTCCGCCGTACGAGACCAATGTTTTGATGATTTATTGAAATATTGTGGAAAGAAAACACTGGATAATTTTATTCGCATTATTTGAATTTCGTGCTGTTTCGTGCTTAATTTCCCGGTTCAGAACCATCAGAACGTCTGCATTTGGTAGTTTCAGCAGTGTATAGGTTGAATGCAAAAATCGGATATGGGTCACTTTTAAAAGATGATTTAAGCAGGTCGTCCAAAAAAATCGAATATAGTCAGAAAATCGGATTTGGGTATCAAGACCTGCAGTGTAAATGGAGCCTAAGGAAAGTTAATTTAAAAATGTAGTTTTTGCTGTGTGAGTTCATGGCTGGAATAAAAATATGGCAGGACTTTTACTTTCTGACCCCTGGACTTCCCACCTCTGCTTTCTGTAAATGAGAAAAATTTTAAGGATGACACAAAGTTTATGTGAGGATTACATTTTCCCATCTAATTTGCATATTATGACGTCATATGGTGGCGGCATTCTTGCATTATAGAATTTTCATGAAAGGTCACATGTTTAAATGATAAAATGTAGCACTTCTTTATTAAGCTCATATATTACTCACACTGTGACTATCACCAAGACTGATGTGATGTCACTGTGATTATCACATGATCTCACGTGTTGACTGGGGAGCATCCTGTTCTTTTCCATATCTTTAATTTACTTTTTGTTTGTTTGTTTTGTTATACATTTTCTTCTCTTGTTATTTGCTCCCAAACCCTGGACTGAGAGTAATGTACCAGTTATAAAACAACTCGCATTGAAAGCACAGGTATAAATTGCACAGGATGCCAGACCAGATCTCTTACCTTCACAGTTGATTGTGTCTGTGATTTTCCATTCTGTTGTGGTCCTGGTGTAAGTGATCCTGAAGCTGCTGATCCTGGTGATTCTGCAACTGCAACTGTCAGTGTTATTGTTACTGTTAGTGGTGATCGTAGAGTTGCCCGTTCGTCTCCTGCTGCTTCTCCAGGCTCTGCTATATTAAAGAAGAATTGTCTTCATGAAATGTCATCATCACAGAAATATAAACATCTTAAAATATACTCAATAATGTGTATAGGATATTGATGTTATCCATTTATAATTGGCATTTCTTACCCATGTTGCTTGATTTTAATTTACCAGGATGACACAGATCTTCCCAGAAGCACCTTTGTCAGGTTTTCAGCTCCTTTCCCCTTCTTTATTCCCAAGCACTTTACCCTCCTTTAAAGAAACAAATGTTAAAATACAGGTGACTTGAAGATAGCATGATGACATTGATACAACATTGGCTCAGCGTTGATGCATCAACGCTATTTGCATTGAATTAACATTACAAAGTGATGTTGCTTTATCACTCTTGCACCTGTAGGGTCTGGCCCCATTAGAAACTTATTATTCATTATATAATTAGTTTATGAAACATCACAATTAACATTGTGCTGTAAAATTGGCCGTTGTGCTCTTGCTATTCTCCACCAGACTGTCTAGACAAGATGGGGTTCCTGGATAAAAGCTGTGCAGAAAACATTGATATTTTGCACGGCTTCATCCAAACGCTTCCACTGTCCTTCAAGGCTGTGCGGGATCTTAGAGTTCTGTTAGAGGAGAATGGAAAACTCCTGAAAATCCAGGCCACCTTCATCGTTGAGCACAGCTCTGATATACTTGCCACCCTGGTCAAGCTTTAAGAAACCTCCAGACCCGTGGCTGCCACCATCTTCAGTCAGCTAGAGGATGCTATTTGAGTATGGTCGAACCGCAGAGGCTGAGGACTGGCGTCCCCGCACCAGAGAGCAGATGAAGGAGTTCAATGACGATGAGCGGTACACTTGTTCAGAGCTGTTTAAAGAAGCAATGGCACAATGTTCTACCAAGCTTCAGGCTGTGATGGAGAGACATCCTTGCACTGAACTATTTAAAGCCCTTGATCCAGCCAAGGTATCTGGTTTAAAACCTGATGTTAAGAATTATGTCCAAGTTGTCCCTGCTTTGAGCAAGGTATCTGCAGAGGAGTGGCATCGCTACATCTGCATGGACAAGAGTGATGCAGGTGAGGTTAGTGCAGTGGAGTGGTGGGCTGCAAGGGAAGTTCAAGGGCCAATCCCAATTCTACCCCTTACCCCTTCACTTTCCCCTTCCCCTCCGTTTTGCGCATCCACGTGAAGGGGTAGGGTTGTCCCAATTCTCTTTTGGTTGGAGGGGGAGGGCTAGGGAGAAGGGCCAGATAGCCCTTCAAACAAAGATTTTTCGGGAGCACACTTCAAACGAAGGGGTATGAGAAGTGTCACTGCTAACCCAGGCTGGCTGCCCAAGCGACAAAGGAGACCCATAAATTTAAGTATTTGTGGCTTTAATAAGTATTGTAACGACAAACAATGATTTGCTTTATGTTACATTCAATATTGTGTTCATATTTACGGTCAGTTTCTTCACAGAAACGTTTGTTAAAAAAAAAAAAATCGCTAAAATTACTGTAGTTTGCTAACGATAGTCCCGCAACATATTTTCGTCGTCTCCGTTGTTTCCTGCGAACTTCACAAGATAAATGCAAGAAAATAGCTGTAACCCACGCGACTGAGATAACTGCAGCTGTCGACGGCATCTTGGAAGTTGTGATAAACATCGGCGCATCTCCTGTGACGTAGGCACTAGAGACGACTTCAAATGCCAACACTTGCCCCACTGGCTGCACTCTACCTGCATCTCCCCACTACTTCAGTGGATGTGGAGAGACTGTTTTCCCACTATTCTTCATTTCCAGCACAGCCTATTGATAGTGCTGAATTGATCATTTAAATAGGCAAGGCAAGGCAAGTTTATTTATATAGCACATTTCATACACGATGGCAATTCAAAGTGCTTTACATAGAAGAAATTAAAATAATCAAAAGAATTTAGAATAATTCAAACAGTTTAGAATAAAAAATAAGAAATAATAAAAAATAAAAAATTATGATAAAAATAAAATACAGTAAATTAAAACCATTTAGAATAAAATGAAGTACAGTAACAGTTGGACGAACAGTGGCACAGTGCTCATTCAGTAAATGCACAGCTAAACAGATGTTTTGAGTCTGGATTTGAATGTGACTACTGTAGGAGCACACCTGATCTCTTCTGGAAGCTGGTTCCAGCTGCGGCTGGCATAATAGCTAAAAGCAGACTCTCCATGCTTAGAGTGAACCCTTGGTATTTCTAGCTGATGTGATCCTAATGATCTGAGTGATCTGTTGGGTTTATATTCAGTGAGCATATCTGCAATATATTGAGGTCCTAACCCATTAAATGATTTATATACCAGTAATAATACTTTAAAATCAATCCTAAATGTAACTGGCAGCCAGTGTAAAGACCTGAGGACTGGTGTGATGTGTTCATATTTTCTGGTCCTGCTCAGAATCCTGGCAGCAGCGTTCTGTATGAGCTGCAAATGTCTTATGGTCTTTTTGGGAAGGCCAGTGAGGAGGCCATTACAGTAAGCCAAGTGAAGCATTAAAATGATATTGAATAATGCAAATATTGAACATATTCAATATAAAACAGAACCTAAGAAAGATGTGTTTGTCACTTCTCACAAATGTCTAATTAATACACGTATAGTTATATATTACATTAAAAATAAAACCCTTGCATTCAGGTGGCCTACATTCGTCATGCGTCAATTTTATATTTTACAAAGAGACCACTAATGTCACTTCATGACGGTGTGGATCACGTTTATTAATGATTTCACTCATTAGTCATTTTTAACTGGCTAACACTCTAATTGTGATGAAGTCAAATTTGACTAACCTGAAGTGAATCTGGACGCCAAACAGCAAACGGTTCTCTGCTGAATATCATACAACAGTAGGGTCTTGAATCCTTAAATCACATGAGTGATGAATAAGCCATATAACCGCATGTGTTATTCTGCTACAGTACAAGTCTGTGTCTTAAATACTCCCATCCAGTGAATCACATGTTATTAATAAAAGTGAAAGTGAAAGGTTTTACCCATACTTGGAATTCTGCATTTAAGAGGGAGCACTTGGGGTTTTGGGGGGTTTTTGGGGGGTTATTTTCCTGCCGGGCCTGGAATCGAACCAGCAAACTTTTGTCACCAGTCCAACTCACTATCCATTAGGGCATTCCAGTCCACTTTTAGACACACATTTGCAAACTTCCTTAAGCACTTCCCCACTGGACAAGAAATGAAAGAGGGAAGTTTATATAGACAGACAACAAATTATCTGTAGTGTTTATAATTTATAATAGTTTATTAATACAGTTGGGGACATTATTTTCTACAATATTATTGATCTGGCTTATTTAAGGTGGTCGTTGATGCAATTTTCTTCTTGAAACTTCTAGAATCACTGTGAAGCTGCTTTGATACAATCTGTATTGTAAAAAGCACTATATAAATAATGTGACTTGACTTGATATTGACTCGCCGTGTGTATGATCTGAGAGCATTGTTTGATATTGAGCACAGATAGAGTCAGAGTTTCTCTGAATGTGGTTTGAAAATTTGGTTTTACAGTTAAGGTTCTGAGAAAGTGAGTGAGGGTTTCAAGAAATGTGTTTTTAGCAATTTAGAAAAAACTGTCAAATTAATAATAACAACAGCATAAAAAATAGCTGTGTAGCTGTGGATTATAGTGCATGCATACTGAATAATATATATATATATATATATATATATATATATATATATATATATATATATATTACATTCTTGATGGTATATATTACAGAATGTACAGAATGTGATATATTACATTCTCTTCACCTCAGTTGAAGAGGGCAAAATGTGTGACTACCCCCACTGCATCTCTTGTAACACTTTACAGTTTCTATAAAATCATGTGACTTTCACAAAGCCATTTTCAAATGGGCACAGCTGTCGCTGTCGCTCCTCGGCTGTCCTTGTGTAGCAGAGGAGTAAACAACTCAAGAGACAGTCACAGCATTAAGGTTACAAGATTCAGTTCTCAAAGGTCTCATGAACAAATTATTATCTAAGAAGAAAAGGTTCAAAAATGAACCTTTTGAGGTTCCTGGAGCTTGCAATTGTGGGGGAACCTTGAACTTCTTAGACTTAGACTTAGAAAACTTTAATGTCCCGAAAGGCAATTTGTTGTGCTCCCGACAGCTCTGATGAGGAATACCTTCCAACAATTTCATTGCGGTGAGTCATTATCTATTACTTCTTTTTACTTTGTTTATATGCTGAGTTTTTACATGTAAAAAATGTTCAGGGCTATTTTGGAATGTTTTTGAATTCTTTTAGTTCACACTGATGTCTCAGGTAATAAATTTGATCATGGTTATATGCCGGAAAAACTTGGAAATAATTCAATTGAACTGTGTATGATCCCTGAAGTTCTTCTCTTCCAGAATGGGTGGTGCACTGAAGGGAGCACAGGTAATTGACAATCTGCCAACTATTGGGATTGATGAGACTGTGCATGATCTGCCTGCCCCTGAAGTCCCTCTCGATGAGCCCTTGAGTCTCGAGCTGCCGATTTTGCCAGGCCCTCAGAAGGTCCTAAGTGAGGATGACATTATTGGCGTTAGAGCAGCTGTGCTCTATGAGAACTGCTTGAGGCAGCTTGTCACATTTTTAACTCTTCCCGTGAACAGATGCACTGGTGTCTTGAGGACTGGTTTAGTGTGTGACAGTGTTGCCCCATTTTCAACAAACATCGGCATCAGGGGCACTGCAATGAGTGTTGAATGGGTAAGCCTTTCACATCACATCAAAATGTGTCGTAACAAATGGCACTGTTTATGCCTTATGAATTTTACAACGCTACCCTTATCTTACCAGATCTGCCCCAATGGACATTGCCTATGGCGGTGGAATTCACAGCCTGTGTTGAAGTTTGGCATGCAGGCTGGGGACTTTCTTCTTTCCACTAACATTTTACTTTCTGGAAACAACTACACTAAAGTTGCTCTCCTATTTAAATTCATGAACATACAAATGGTAAACACCAACACACACTACACCATCCAGGACACCTACTGTGTTGACACTATTAAAGATTTTTGGGAAGAGAGTCCATCAGGCGACTAAAAGGGAAAGATGTTGTGCTCCTAGGTGGGTAATTATATATTTGAACTTGTTCTCCATTAATTGTTATGGTATTAAACAATTAAACTACTTTTGCAATCATCTTATCATACAGGTTTAGTATTTTGAAATTACCTGTATTTCCTTTTTCTTTAGGTGATGGCAGAAATGACTCACCAGGGCATTCTGCCCAATACTGTAGCTACACAACCATGGAGCTTGACTCTTAAGGAAATCATCCATGTGGCCACTATAGATAAGCGGCAGACTCCAACATCATGGAGAAGGAGGGTTTTATCCAGACAGTGGACAAGCTTACGCAAGAGATCAAGGTAGTGGAGTTCTGCACGGATGCTCATGTCCAGATTGGAGCCCTTTTGAGTAAGTGGTCAAATAATAAAACATTTGAATAGAAATATTGAATTGCTGATTGAGATATGATTCTATAGTTCAAAGACCCAGATAAAGGAAGATATAAGGATCTGAAAATTTACCACAGCCTGGACATGTGGCATGGTGCCAAAAATTTGTGCAAAAAAATAGCAACTGTAAGTTCTAATACATCTAATTTCATTTGTAAAGAATTGTACCTTCCTGCATGTCGGTGTAATAATTTTGTTATGTTAGGTCTCCATCAAAATATTTACAAGGGCTAACTTCCATTGTCTCTGTTTTGTTAATTACCATAAGGCGGGAAAGGTGAAAGGACAATCTATTCTCCTTCACTGGCTGAGGGATATAGTTAACCATTTCTGGTGGTGCTGCAAGACGGCAGAAACATTTGAGCAGTTTCTTGTAAGCAGGAAGAATGTTATAATATAAATAAATGATAATAATGCAATGATTCAAAAACCTGTGATATGATAATGTTTTTGTTTCATTGTTTTACTTTCCTCAGGCACTTTGGATTGGAGTTGTGCATCATGTTTGCAACAATCACACCTGGGAAACAGGAATCTGCCAACACGACCATCTTGAAGACACTCAGGATAAAGAGTGGATTTAGAGAGAGATTCAAAGAGCCATAAAGCGCTTGTGGAGATAGTCCTCAACAAGCGTTGGCAGAAGGATGTCCACAAGTATCTGCGCTTCAGGTAAAGCGTGGAGACATGACATTTTAAAAGAAATCTAAATGATACGTAAGTCATGTGTGGGTGTGTTTTTTTTAAAGAGTCTAAATCTATTTTTTAATTTGTCCAGATCGACAGCACATCTCGAGTCTTTTCAGAATCCAGCAAGCGCCAGGCCTTCACTCCCCGAGTGTATGACACGAGAGTTGTGCTCGCAGCCCTGGACTACAATTTCCACCGGGAACGACCGGCATACAGGACGGCTGAGGGCCAACAACTAACCAGACTGACTTTATTTCTGTCAGATTTCTACAGAAGATTTTATTGAGAATTAACAGAGGTTTAACTCATCAGAATCTCTGAAGGAGAAAACCGTACTAGGTTACCATTATGGAGATCAGTGTTTGCTTTAGTTGGGCTCTTGAGCCTTACATGATTAACTTCAGATCTTTCTTTGGTTGCTGTACCTGAGTTACAACAGACAGATGAACTGTTTTTGAAAATCATAATATTTGTACCTGTTACAATGTACTTCAAATCTTTTCTTAAAATTTAATCACATACAAAGTTTTTTTTATTATTATTATTTTTTAAGACATCGAGAATCAGCCTGTTGATCTCAATAATGGTGACAAATATATATAAAATGGTGACAATTAAGTGATTAATTGAGTGATGATTGAGCACTATTGAAGACACCCGATGATAACAAGCAGAATCACTGAAGGAGAAACCCGGAATTTCAGGTTACCATTATGGAGATCAGTGTTTGCTTTAGTTGGGCTCTTGACCCTTATATTATAAACTTTAGATTTAGATTTAGAGTTAAAACAGTCAGATGAACAAAGAAAAAAAAAACATACAAATTAATAGTTTTGGTTATATTGTGAATATCGTCATTTGAATTTAGTATTTGTGATTTATTTAGTTGGATACAGCATAACTGAGATGCATAAATACCCAGAATTTGAGATTTAATGTGAAGGATTTCTTAAAAGTTGTAAAAAAAAAAAAATCTTTATTGAAGGCACACACAGAGCTCAAGATTCAGTCAATGCTTCTCAACAACGGTGACGAGCAGAATATTCAATTAGGAAAAGTAAATTACATAGACATTTCAGATCATAATTTATTCATACCGCAAGGCATGATGGGAGCCATTAATGAGTTGTGATTGGTGGCAACAAGGATTATGTGGTCACCACAGTTGAGATACAAAGGTTGATTATTGATGTCTGTGTTTCTAAATAAATGCATTGGAAAGTGATTTGATCAGAATAATTTTTATTAAATATTTTGGACTATAAGAAAAATATTGATAATCGTATGTTTTAGAACCACTAAAATGTTGCTAACAAGTTAAACCAAATTATCTGAAAAGTTTCAATTTACAAATCACAGATTATGCCAAAACATAACCAACACTATCAGATCACACTTTTCTTTGTTCATTTGACTGTTATAAATCAATAACAGCAGACAAACAAAGTTTAAAGTTAAAGTAAAAGTATCAAGAGCCCAACTAAAGCAAACACTGATCTCCATAACGGTGGCTTACAATTTGTGATTTTCTCCTTCAGTGATTCTGCTTGTTATCATCAGGTGTCTTCAATAATGCTCAGTCAACACTAAATTAAACACTTAATTATCTCATTAACTTTAACACTCTAGAATGTTAATTTTACACTTGTATCGTCCATCTGAAAGCAGGTGAAGGAGATTTACTACTAATCAAGGAACTGGCTTTACTGATGAGATTCGCATGACAATATCACGCGATACATCGCCCAGCCCTAGTTACAGGTTTTGTTTTTTGAAAATAATTTGTCAAAATAATTATTAAATTCAAATACCACAGTGTATCAGGCTTTATCATGATGATTATAAAACCATCACAAGATAATCTTCATCACCTGATCCCGTTCAACTTTGTTACTGTAAATGTGTTTGACAAACACACTGTCACAGCAGTCAGAAGAGATTAAATATATAAGAGTAAAGAGCCTGTCTAATGGAAACACTAATCACTGTTATGGTGACTTCAAATGAAACTGAGTTAAACCTCTGTTAATTCTCAATAAAATCTTCTGTAGAAGTCTGACAGAAATAAAGTCAGTCTGGTTAGTAATAAGTGAAGCTGGTAATGCTGTTTGTGGAGTTGTTTAATCCTCCTCTGCTGAGATCTTCAGATTTAATGTCTTCCCTTCAGGTGATTTCATCTAGACTGTGTCATCTCTTTTCAGGGAGGCAGATGCGAATAAATTGAATAAATTGATTCGTAAAGCTGGTAATGTGGTGGGGGTTAAGTTTGACTCATTATCGGTGGTGTCAGAGAGGAGGATGCTGTCCAAACTAAAAGTCATCTTGAATAATGTCTCCCATCCACTCTATGATCTGGTACTCAAACAGAGGAGCACTTTCAGTGCTAGACTTATTCTACCGAAATGCACCACTGAGCGCCACAGGAAGTCATTTCTGACAGTGGCCATCAAGCTGTATAACTCTTCGTTAGGAAAATTACTTAGTGAGTTTTTAAATTGTTTATATTTGGTTGCTGTACAAAATTATCTGTTTAATATGAGTTGTTTCAAACTAATGTGTATTATTCTAGTGGTTATTTATTTCATTGTTCATTGGAATATTACATTTTATGAATATGTTTTATTATTACTTATCCATATTACGGAATGTTTTATAATTTTTATTGTTGTTTATTATATATGTGGGCAACCGTGACAAAGAATTTCCCCTTGGGGATTAATAAAGTATTACTTACTTACTTTTCTGTTCTCTTCAGAGGAGTAAAGTCCAGGTTCAGAAAGTAAAAGTCCGCCTCAGTATTTTGTTCCAATCACCTGGATTTGCTTATCAGCAGTTTTTCAGTCAGGAGATAGAAATCAGCCCTAATCAACTGTCAATCCGTTCATGGCTGGAAGTAAGACATGGCAGAATTTCTACTTTCTACTTCTACTTTATACAACTCTGATTCTCAGAACAAGTTCTCACTGTCTTTGGGACTCATAAAGTTTGTCTCAGTTTCAGAAACAAATTTGATAGTCCCTTGAACATTTGTGTTATTATGTGATTTCAGTTCCATTTTCAGAATGAAAGGTTAAATGTATGGCATGTTAGAGTAGGTTTAGAGTTGACAAATCCAGCCTGGTTTATGTAGTGTTTTGAATTTTGTTATTGTTCCAGCAAATTTTGAATTAATTTCTGATGTTTTTTTATTTCTTTGCATATATATTGCTGTTCATTCTCTGTATAAAATATGGGGAAAATGTTTTTTTTTTTAAATAATGTAATGAGTTTTATAGCTAAGTGACGTCATTTCCACTTGTGTCGTCCAATCGCGTCTCGCTCAAAGCTTAGAACAGCTTTGGATTTGAGCTAGACAGGTATGTGTAAATGAGCTCCGAAGTAAAGTGTCAATATATAATACATTAAGTTGAAATTTTGATCAATACCAGTGGATGACATGTTTTAATGCCAAGTTAAGTCATGTAATATGCTTGAATGTCGTTATTTTTGTGTATAATCCAAGTTTTGTGTTAATGAGGCCTTATTCCGTTGTTTCAAATTGCCGCCCGCGCGCTATTTTGAACGGCGGGTTTATACAGTTGTATAATTCTTAAAATATAGTTAAAAAGGGTAGATTACGTTTCTATAATATCATACAGTTATACATGTCAATGTATATCGTCTTTATTCGTCGAAAAATGTGTATTTTGTAGTTAATTGTGTAATTGAACTAGTGATGGCAGATGGTGTTAAAGTTCACCCAAAAATGAAAATTCTATCATCGTTTACTCACCCTCAAGTAGTTCTAAACCTCTTATGTGTTTATTTTTTCTGCTGAACAGAAAAGAAAGATATTTGGAAGAATGTTTTAATCAAACAGATCTCAATCCCCATTGACTACCATAGTATCTTACTTTTTTGATGCGCATCGAGGAATTTATTCGGTAAATTAATTTCCATCGTTTTTATGCACATGTTTTCTTATCAGATAAAACAATTTTAGAGCATAAGTTTTTTTATGTGCATTTTTAGAATTTATGTGCATCTTGCAGTTTCCATCCAGCGGGTTTTATATGCAATGTCCAAAAATGCACATAAAAATTGGTGGATGGAAATATAGCTACTGATCAAGCTATAGAAATGGTGTTTTACTCCTTTAACCCTCAGGTGCTCTTCGTTTCGGAGTCACACTTGTTATCTTCCCGGTCAAAAGTGACCGGACACCTAAAAATTAAATTTCCTCCATTCCAGTAAAACCAATGCAATTTATTTTTGTTCTATAATATTTATTCTTTGTAATTTAGTGTTTGGAGACAATGTGATTAAATTTATTAATATTTATGCAATATTTATTGTCTATTTTTGCCATGGAAATATATATATTTTTATACAAAGTATATATATATATATATATGAAGAGTTCAGATGCAAAAGCCTCTAAATGCCATTTGAAATTTTCTTCTTTAATGATGATTTTTATCAAACTTGTATAATTAAGTTCAGTAATTTCACTTAAATAACAATTAATAGGTAATTATCATTACCATTTAAGTGAAATTACTGAACTTAAATATACACGTTTGATAAAAATCATCATTAAAGAAGAAAATTTCAATTGGCATTTAGAGGCTTTTGCATCTGAACTCTTCATATATATATATATATATATATATATATATATATATATTAGTTTTCCAAAAAAATATTAATGCAGTATTTTAGTTTTATATAGCGTCTAGGCCTTCAGAAAAAAAAAAAAATTTTTTGAAGAAAATTAGCACCATCTGGTTACAGTATAGAGAAAAGGTGTAGAATCATGGTGTAACCACTAGATGGCATGTACAGCTCTCTATAGAGAAGCATGTGAATTCCCCAGATGTTTATGAACACATTTTTCTTTTGGTGGATTTGTATATATAGTTAAAACAATCTCAAAAACGATTTTTTATTAAATAAATGTAAAAAAAAAAAAAAAAAGGTGAATTTTTGTGTTTTTGTCAATTTCCCAATCATTTCCTATGGGGGTCATTTTTGACCAAAGACCACAAGTGTGACTTTTTTTTTTTTAAGACCACTTAGCATGCTCAGATCATGACCTTAATTTTTTTGTGTGTTCACATACATAATGCCATAAAAGTCACCAAGTTTCATAACATTCTGATGAAGCTGTCATTTTTAGAAATTCAAAACCGAAAAAAATTCGGTCAGAAATGACGGAAGAGCACCTGAGGGTTAATAGTAAGTTCACTGAGTTACCATATTAATAGGTGGGTGCTGCCACCCAAACCCCTATTGGTGATGAGCCTGCAGTGTTCACTTACTTTATCAGTTTCTTTATTTAAAAAAAAAATAATTTAATAGTAGAGTATTTGTGACAAGTATTATTTTATGATGCTCACATCTTGTGCAGGGATGGAAATTAACCTATTTGTCAGTGGCTGGTGGATTTCAAAATCTACCAGCCACTCAATGTTTTTATCAGCCACTTTCTTGTTTTTAACCGACAATGCATTTGAAAATGAACACTACAAGATCTACAATACTACTTAACCAGTTTATTTAATCGATATTTAATCAATTTAATCAAGTCTCAATGAAATACTGACATTTTCTCTATCTCTCTTATACACACACAAACCATAAACTGATATACATTTCTTTAAATTAGTAGGGCATATTAAACAAAAAACTGAACAGATTAGGGATGCGCGGTATACCGGTATTACAAAAATACCGGTATATAATAAATTTCAAACAGTACAATATTATTTTTTTGTTAAATTCGGTATTTAATGCGCTGCTGTTCCGAAGTTCTCCACTAGGCGGCAGTGCGCTACTGAAACTGACGCGGGTCACGCGAAACCGGCAAACGAAGGAACACGATGGATCAAACGAAGCTCATTCGAATTTCTACACGCCCGAAATTAATTTATAGAGGGAAGTATCAGTGAAATAAGGCATTATTTTGCCTGCTAAAGTAATGAGAATAGTAAAGTAACAGACCTCAATGCACCACTCTGCAAACGTTGCTTTCATTAAAGTGTTTCCATGGGAGCCAACACATCAAATCTGCCGGAGCGCTCATTAGTTGCTCATCCAGCTAGTTCAAAGAGTTCAGAGATCGACTGGTGAGTTCATCATTCAATTGATTTAATTTAGTCTTGACTCTTTTATTGAACACTGAACAGCGCACATACATTAGAGCTTATCAATTAAATATGATAGGGTAAACACGAGAGATCAAATCTTCTTCTTGCATGACACGGTAGAACCAACCCAGATAGCAAACTGACATTGAATCAACGTGGAAATATGACATCGAAACAACGTTGATCTGACATTGTTTTGCTCACGAATTAACGTTGAACCAACGTCAGACGCGTCATTCTTTCAAAACTAACGGAAAATCAACTTGAAATCAACGCGTTGTTTCAATGTTATGAAAGCAAACCAATTTTCCGATTTTCACTTAGCTTTGAAGAATGCTGCGTCTGACGTTGGTTCAACGTTAATTCGATGAGCAAAATCAACGTTGTTTCAATGTCACGAGAGACGTCGTTTCCACGTTGATTCAATGTCAGTTTGCTGTCTGGGAATTCAGTTTAGGTCTCATCATTTTTGCAATTTCAAACAAACATATTCATTTAATTTGAATTAATAAAGAATAAAAGTAATAGCAAAAACTAATGGCATTATTGCCGCTGTTGTGACCCATAGAGAGAGAGGGAGATTGTAGTAATATAAATATTAATAATATTAGCCTACAATTAAGCTACATTTGTCAAAATTCATTAAGGAACCTGGCCTAACAATATAGCATTGATTAATCTAGATCAATCAGTAATAAAATGACCTAACAATGTAATACATGTTTAGCATAACATTGCAATGCATTATATGCATAATCTATATCCAAACACAAACAGTAAGCAAACCAAGATGAATAAACGCTATAACTGTTGATAATTCTCTGTTGATGCCTGACAGCTAATGGTTTACATGCCATTCTATTATTATATGTTAATCTATTATTATTATAGATATTAACCTATTTTAATTGTATAATTTCAGGGGTTTTTTTTTCTTTTCCAAAATCTAAATTTTACCTACTGTATGTTCCTTGATTGAATTTATTTATTTTGAAAATTTTGATCTGTTTTTGTTTTTTGACACTTTCTTTGCACATATGGTAGCTGAGAGTTTCAAGCAGTGTTTAATATAATTGTTTCAATTCACTTAAATTTAGACTCTTTTTTTTCCCCCCGACTGTGGTATCGATTTAGTATCGATACCGAGGTATTAGGTTCTGGTATCGTACCGAAAGCCCAAATTGTGGTATCGAGCCATCCCTAGAACAGATGTTAAACCGCACTCTAAGCTGGAGGATGCTCTCTCTGCAAGAGTAAGTTACTGTAAAACTTCAAATAATAGCCAAGTAGACGCCTCTTTTACATGCCTTGGTGTGGCGACCAGCCTAGCGGACAGTCTTGCCTGGGTCCTGGACAAGATAATCTTATGGGACCCCCGCCCAGATCTCTCATTTTCCCTTGCTCTTCTCTCCTGTTCCCCTCCTCTGCTCTTACATCTTAAAACGACTTCCATGTTTTTTTTATTTTTATTTTTTATAAAACACCATATATTTTACCCACACTGAATAAAAACACGTTTAAATGGGCAATTTTCTTTTCTTACATAGTGTTAGATTTTGGTGATGCCGAGCAGTGGTTTCAGTGGCTCGCCAATGTATTGGATTTCTCCAATACATAAAATAAGTAAGCTTGACCAGTTCTTGTGGGGAGAAGAATTTATTGAAGGTTTGTAGTGTAGCAGTCCTTCAGCAGCGATGTTATCATGTCACCCTTCAACAATCTTAACCCAATGTTCTGTCTGTGATACAGAACTTTATTAAGAAGATTATGGGCTACAAACAATAGAAACCTGTTAGGACCTCCCACAGGAGATGCTAATCCACTCTGAGCAATGCTGAGTCTTTGTCATTCACACCAATCAGTTTCTGTGGGCCATACATCTGAATGGGCCATTCATCTGTATGGGCCATTTGACACACACCTTTGCAGACACCGACAGAGTGGATTAATTATGATACACGTCACAATGTAAATGAATCTGATAACTGAAAATACAAAATCTATCAATCCACCCTTTGATCATATTTGATCACAAAACAAACTTCATTATATACAGCATGCTGCATACAGGCTCCACTTAAAATGACAGAATAAGAGTTCATAGTGAAACTTTGCATCCTCTTGAATTCTTGAGTCCTCTGGTGGCTTTTATTTTGGAGTTGTGTTCTGTTGGAAGTGGGGGATAGGGTTGTGTTCTGTGAATGTTCAGAAGTTTTTATCTAGGTGACCAGTGCAGTCTAAACGTCGGATGCAATTGCTCATCCTCTGGAATGCTGGAACACCTGCAATCACACAAAAGAGAAACGGGGAACGTATCTTTGCCAAGGAAAATATTTTAAAGACATAATTCATAATTATCTGACAAACTGTCCCTATTTAATAATGGCAGGACACTACTGTGTTTATCAGTGGCTGTATGTTTATGTCTTCGTCCTCAGGCGACAAGCTAGGGCCTAAAAACCCTAGTCCCGCCATATCTGGACTCTGATAAACACTACTGCCGTCTATCCTTCATCTCTAGGCAGATGTTTCAAATCCCATTGGCTCACATCAGTCCACTCATCTTTTCTCTGCACCTTAACTGCTTCATCAGTTACCATGAGATCCTGTAGGCTATCCCTCTTGGATTCTAATGATGAAAATGGATTCTTGGCATTGTGTTCTACCAGGCTGAGTCTTTCATCAGTTTGGGCAAGGCTGTCAGATGTTAGATTTTCTTTGGACAGGGGCCGGCCAATGACATGTTCAAAAGGGCATAGTCCAATTTCCTTCTGGTCATCCTTACTGCATTGCTTGTCATTATGCAGTTTTGTTTTAGCTTCCATCACTGATGGCATTTGTTTTCTGGGTGCTTCATCTGGAATAAGTTTACATGGCAAAACTTGAAGTTGAAGTTGTCTTAATGCCGCTGTATGTGCACCTCTCTCCTTTACGGCTTGTATAGCAGCACCTTCTACTTGGACATCATCTTTGGCTTCAGTTGTTGAGACTTCTGTGTATGCTTTTACCTTTGGGGTGGTGTTTTCATTTGTCATTTTTGCATAAACATGGAGTCCATCAGTTGTCGGATGAGATGTCACAAGTTGGTGCTGCAGAGAGAGGCTCTTCAGTTTCCCTGCGGCTCAACAGCGTTTAGCAGAGTCTGTTTTTGTTTATCTGTCAACTGCTGAAACCTCCTCAACAGGTTGTCCTCATCATCACTTTGACGTTTTAAACTCAGCTTACAATCACGGACCCAGTGTCCTTCTTCGTTGCAGTACCTGCATCTTCCTTGAGTTTTTGACTGTCTATTATCTTCGTTTTCTTTATGCTCATTCCACATTGTCTTGCTGTGGTATGACATATTCTTCGATCGCAATGCTCTGAGTTTGACTTCCTGTGTTCTTTCAATCTTTGCTGACCACTCAACAATCTTTTGAAAAGATGTTCCAATGCTGTCCCAGTCGTCATATCGGATTTTGAGTGCTTTTGAAACTTCAGGTTTCAGTCCATTTACAAAAGCAGTTTTCAGAGGCATGCTAGTGTCCTTGTCCAGATCCTCACTGTCATTTACACCGGAGTGTTCCAACCAGGTTTGTCTGAAGCGTTCTTCGAACTCCGCAACAATTTCTCCAGTCTTCTGCATACATGAGGTAATTCTAGCCCAATTAACCTCTGCAGGTTTCAGTTCAAACAAGAATGTTCGTACAGCTTCCCATCCAGCCTCAATGTTTTCTTGAGACTCGCCTACCCTGTTTTCAACACTTTCAGTTATCCTCTTTTGTTCCTTGTCCCTCAAGTTCACATTAACAATCATCACACCATCTACTGGATGTAAATTGTAGATCTTCTGTAAACGTTGAAGAAATTGCCATACTTTTCGTGGTTGTTTGTACACATCTGGTAACTCCTTGGACCACTTGTCTACTTGCTCTGGTAAAGCTGGCTGGTATGTCTTACAGGGAACATATTTCTTAATTATTTTTGATACGATGCGGGTTCTTCTTTCGCCTTCCTCCTCATACTCCTCCTCATTGTCAACTTCAATTTCAGTCCTTCTGTTCTTGACAATTACCGGAGCGAGTCTAACCTTTTTGTTTTTCTTGGTGACATTAGCATGTGTCTCAGGTTCAACATCACTGTCATCAGGGCTCTCAGTCGAGCTGCTGTCACTTTCTCCATGCAGATACTGACGTTGTTGAAGCTTCTTGAGGTCTTTAAATGGATAGAGTGACTCTTTCTCTATCATGCTGCTAGATTTTATGGGATTTGGTTTTGCAGAAAGCAACTTTAACAGCTTGTTGTTATCATTCAAGAGTCTTTCTTTTTCCTTCTTTTCATTTTGCAGTTGTTCAGCAAGTGCTCGAACTTTTGCTTTCTCTGCTTTGTACTCGCGCTGTGATTTGTCAGTCTCACATTTCTGTCGATGCTGTAGAATTTGTTTTATCAAAATCACAGACAAGCCATCTCTGTTGGTGTTTGTCCTTAAGCGCTGCATCTTTCCATAAGCCCTTTTAATGTCCGGCAAGGCCCATATTCCACTCTCTGAGTGCTTGATGCCATACTTCTGGCACATGTCATCATGGCACTTCCTCAGTCCCAGCCGTTTGCCCAAATATGCATTCAGATTGTCCAAAATCTGATCAATGGTAACATTTGGAGGTTCTGTTCCATGTCTTTCTGTTGTTGGCCTCAGTGCAGGGCCATTACCATTGTTTAGTGCAGACTCAGCCATGGCAAGTACAGGAGAGGTGCCCTCAGAGGTGTGAAAACAAAACAAAATTGTTTGAGCCGTTAAAGGTGCTTATTTAAATTCTCAGCAGTCTTTAGTCTGACCATTTCAGTCACACAAACAAATCATTAATTTACTAACTCAGCTTAGTTTTCAATCCTACATTCCAAACAAAACATTCACATTTAGACCAAGTTTCTTTGTTTAATTTCTAGAAAAGAAAACTCCTGATTGATGAGACTCATTCAGTTCTTTCTTAGTTCTAACCTGAATTGGTTTAAATTTGTCCCTTAGACATTAGATTTTCAATCTTTCTGCATCTTTCATCAGAAGGCAAATAAAATTCTACTTTCTAACACAATTAGAATGTTTAATTCAAAACTAAAATATTGGTTACTGAATTAGCACCCAGTCAAGAATTACCAATTCTTGCAGCAACTTCAGTCCCAAACATTTTAGGCTACACTTGTTTCTTATATTGGTTACTGAATTAGCACCCAGTCAAGAATTATCAATTCTTACAGCAACTTCAGTCCCAAACATTTTAGGCTACACTTGTTTCTTATATTGGTTACTGAATTAGCACCCAGTCAAGAATTATCAATTCTTACAGCAACTTCAGTCCCAAACATTTTAATCTTATATTGGCTACTGAATTAGCACCCAGTCAAGAATTACCAATTCTTGCAGCAACATCAGTTCCAACAGTTTCGCTATAAAACAGTTTCTACAATTTCTGGACGAATTGACTCAATTGTTGCTTTAACAATTCCTACAGACTCCAAAAAAAGAAAAAATCGTTTAAAAAAATCGTAAATCGAATTTAAAAAAATAAAATCAGAGATTTTATTTTTAGGCCATATCGCCCAGCCCTACTAGAATGTTTTAAATTTAACATTTTGAGGATGTTGATGAGGTAAAGGTTTATAGAATGATCTTTTATAAACATTGAAACAATGTTCCATAAAAACAAAGGAGGAACATTATCAAGTTAACGTTCGCAAAATGTTTTGAGGATATTATTTAGTCCTGAGATGACGGAATGTTTTTTTTATAAAATGTTCTTGTAATGTGAAGTGTTAACAAAACTAGAACATTTTCACTGTAACATGTTGAGGATGTTTTCGGAATGTTGTTGAGATAACATATATTGCAATGTTCTCAATAAAACATTGGTACAATGTCCCATAAAAACATAGGAATAACATTATCAAATCAACGTTCGCAAAATGTTATGAGGATATCATTGAGGCCTGAGTTGATGGAATGTTTTTTTTTATAAAACGTTCTTGTAATGTGACGTGTTTAACAAAACTAGAACGTTTTCAATTTAACATTTTGAGGATGTTGATGAGGTAAAGGTTTGTAGAATGATCTTTTATAAAACATTGAAACAATGTACCATAACAGAGGAGGAACATAATCAAATTAACAATCAAATTAACGTTCGCAAAATGTTTTGAGGATATTATTTAGTCCTTAGATGATGGAATGTTTTTTATAAAATGTTCTTGTAATGTGACGTGTTAACAAAACTAGAACATTTTCACTGTAACATGTTGAGGATGTTTTCGGAATGTTGTTTTGATGACAGATATTACAATGTTCTTAACACATTGGTACAATGTCCCATAAAAACAGAGGAGGAATATTATCAAATCAACGTTCGCAAAATGTTACGAGGATATTGAGGCCTGAGATGATGGAATGTTTTTTATAAAATGTTTGTAATGTGACGTGTTTAACAAAACTAGAACATTAACACTGTAATGTGTTAAGGATGTTTTGGGAATGTTGATGAGATAATAGATATTACAACGTTCTCAATAAAACACTGAAACAATGTTCCATAATAACAGAGAAGGAACATTATCAAATCAACGTTCGAAAAATGTTTTGAGGATATCATTGAGGCCTGAGATGATGGAATGTTTTTATGAAACATTCTTGTAATGTGACGTGTTAACAAAACTAGAATGTTTTAAATGTAACATTTTGAGGATGTTGATGATTTCATTTCATTCATTGACTCATTCTTTAACTATATTAAATGATATAAACCAACTAAATCACAGTGAAAGCGTTACAATCTAAATGCACAGCGCACCCGGACTTTCTCACCAGTGTATGGCCAGCAATATTGTAATGTTTAATGACATGAAGATAATGTCTGTTCTAAGTTGTACTGAACAATTAAAAACAATCGTTCCTGCGTCTGCAGTCTGAAAACTTTACCTCAGAGCATCCGTTTACTGAATGAATTGAGAATCTCACCTGAAAAATCCAATAACACCAGCAATTGTCATTCAAGCAGCTGATTTCTGTAAAAACTAAATGCATATTGCAGCATAGGGCGAAGTCAGGATCCGTCAGCACCGATTTGAGACAAAAATAATTTAAATTGTATATAAAACTATGTAAATGGCGCTCTGTGGCGCAGCAGGATTTTGAACACGGTCCTGACTCCTGACTGAGCCGTTGCTGGGCGCCGCGGACAGACGCCGAACGGCGCCGCCGGTGTTGTGTACACTCAGAGAATGTGTTCGAATTGTAAAGACGTGGCGCTGCGCGACGCGACGCTTCTCGTCCGGTGTGCGACCCCTTTACTGGAGTTCCACAACTACTACTCAAAAGCTATGTTTTTCTCTCCCGCCACCGGAATGTGTGTGTCTGAGGTAAAAGGGACGGAGGCAGTGGACCAATGCACTGTGAGGCAAGGGAGGGGGGTCTCAAAATGTTTAGAACGCTTTTTTCGATATTGCCCCGTTTGCATTTGTTATTTTATTTCTTAATTATTTTAAGAACATATCATTACATTATTTACAATACACATATTTTAATGTTTTTTTTTGGACAACCCTCAGATAGGGGGGTCTTGACCCCCCCAACCCCCCCCCCCCCCGATTTCCGCCTATGCCTGAGATGACAAAATCTCATAACATATGTTAACAAAAGCTCATAAAATTGTATAGTAAGGATATTTTAAGAAAGCTGTTTAGGTAACAGATTGTAGAATTATTTTAACCTATAGAATATTGGCATAATTTTCCATAATAAAAGAGGAACATTGTCAAAACAGCATACGTGAAGTGTTTTGAGGAACTGTTCCGACAAATGCGTTTACAAGAGATGAGAAGCTGATTGGAGGCCGCTGTAGATCGACGTTTAAAACCACCAATCACAGCGTGATGTTCCCATGACGTAAGAACAACATTTGAAATCGACAAACAGCGCAAATAAAGCAACGTTTCTGTTGAAGAAATCGGCGCAAAATGTCTGTTGTCTAAATTGGCGACACATTGGCCCAAAACAACAGAACTCCTGGTCAACGGAACTCTTTCACACAACTGTAAGTTTTTGTGTATTTTTTTCAGTTTACATAGCTTTCTCTTATCCTTGATGTCTTGTATTAGACCTAACTTTCTACTTTCTTAGAATTGCATGACAGTCGCAATAAATCTGAGTGTATGCTACTTTTGAATAACAGCTAGATTTGTTTTAATGCAGACTCCAAACGGCCTGTTTCAAGATGATTAACTTACCGATGACACAATAAAGTCTCCATTTACAACCAAGGTAGCCTACTCTAATAGCTACTGGTATTGTGTTCTATGCATACACATACTGTATTTTTTACTTAAAAGTGATCTTAATGTCTTTTGAATGTAAAAGTTAATACTATTTCAGTAATTCATATAGAGGTTAACGTTAATGAATTGGAAAGAGCGTTTAGTCTCAAGGCTTCCTAGGTGTATATGACATTCTTCTTTCAGATGAATACAATCGGAGTTATATTTTAAAAAAAAATGTCCTGACTCTTCTGACTTTTAGAATGGCAGTGAATGGCCGTCTATCAAGGCGCATCCATCCATGATAAAAGTAATCCACCACATGACTCTGGCGGGGTTATAAAGGCCTTTTGAAGCGAAGCATTTGTGTAAGAAAAATATGCATTTTTAAAACTTTATTGGATATGGATTAAGTATGTTTTAAATTACAGAAACATAAAAGATACTCAATTTATCATATTTATACTTTCAATAAATTAGTCTTTACATAATTTCTGATTGCTAATTAGGCTGGCTAATTTTGAAAGTTTTCAATGTCAATATTGCTTGTGATCTTAATGTACAAACCCAATTCCATAAAAGTTGGGACACTGTACAAATTGTGAATAAAAACAGAATGCAATGATGTGGAAGTTTCAAATTTCAATATTATATTTAGAATACAACATAGATGACATATCAAATGTTTAAACTGAGAAAATGCATAATTTTAAGGGAAAAATAAGTTGATTTTAAATTTCATGGCATCAACACATCTCAAAAAAGTTGGGACAAGGCCATTTTTACCACTGTGTGGCATCCCCTCTTCTTTTAATAACAGTCTGCAAACGTCTGGGGACTGAGGAGACAAGTTGCTCAAGTTTAGGAATAGGAATGTTGTCCCATTCTTGTCTAATAAAGGCTTCTAGCTGCTCAACTGTCTTAGGTCTTCTTTGTTGCATCTTCCTCTTTATGATGCGCCAAATGTTTTCTATGGGTGAAAGATCTGGACTGCAGGCTGGCCATTTCAGTACCCGGATCCTTCTTCTACGCAGCCATGATGTTGTAATTAATGCAGTATGTGGTTTGGCATTGTCTTGTTGGAAAATACAAGGTCTTCCCTGAAAGAGACGATGTCTGGATGGGAGCATATGTTGTTCTAGAACTTGGATATACCTTTCAGCATTGATGGTGCCTTTCCAGATGTGTAAGCTGCCCATGCCACACGCACTCATGCAACCCCATACCATCAGAGATGCAGGCTTCTGAACTGAGCGCTGATAACAACTTGGGTTGTCCTTGTCCTCTTTAGTCCGGATGACATGGCGTCCCAGTTTTCCCAAAAGAACTTCAAATTTTGATTCGTCTGACCACAGAACAGTTTTCCACTTTGCTAGAGTCCACTTTAAATGAGCCTTGGCCCAGAGAAAACGCCTGCGCTTCTGGTTCCCGTTTACATATGGCTTCTTTTTTGACCTATAGAGTTTTAGCCGGCAACGGTGAATGGCACGGTGGATTGTGTTCACTGACAATGTTTTCTGGAAGTATTCTTGAGCCC